AGGACCTTACCTTGAGGGCAATGGGGAGCATAGCTGTCGAAGATGGATTCAGAAGGACTCTTCCATGTGTGTGGTTTGTGGGGATTCAGGCCTGGAGGCTTGGGAAGGGCAGGGCAAGGCCACAGAAGATGTCACTAGACATCTAGGTCATAATCCCCTCTCCTCCCCCACTGGAGTGGGAAGGGGGAGATGGCTTTCTTTTCCCAATCTGTTGGCTGCCCCTCTCCATCATGAAGCCAGGCATAGTCGTGGATCTGAGTCACAGGCGGGTTCCACATGGAGCACCCCAGCCTGCAACAGCTCTCAGGGTGTCTGCACTCTGTCCAGCAAACCCAGGCTACAGCACACACAGCAGACGCCACAGCCTGGGGTCCCACAGAGGACAGATGCAGCTTGCATCTATGTTCCTGTGCATATGACACAGCTGGGCCTGCCTTCTGCCCTGCCTACCCCTGGCCCAACCAGCTCACTCCAGCTGTCCCTTTGCAGCCTGCCTCATCTCTGGGGCTGCTGAAGCTCTCTGTCCAAGGTCAAGGAACAAGCAGATAAACCCTTTCCTTGGAGCCGGGGAGAGACAGCCTCCAGCTCCAATCCAATCCAATTCTGAGTCAGGGCCAGGGAGTAATTCCTGAGAATGTGGGGCCGGAAGGAGATGTTTGCGGCCATAAAATGAGTGAAAATGTTTTGTAGGCAGAAAAAGAAGCCAAGCAGCTGGCTTTGGTTTAATGCACAAATACCCAATAGAAGTGGCCAGATCTAGGCAGAGAAGGTCTGGGGGTGGGAAGCTAGAATATTTTTGTAGCTGTAGTGATATCCAGCCCCTACCCCGGGGGTGGGGGTGGGGGGACACCTGATGATGATTTCAACTGGCTTCTGGGGACCTGATGGTATGAGGGTCTAAGTAGCGTTGGGGTAGGGGTGAGCAGGGGGAGTTGATGACTCTGGAATTTTCTAGGCAAAAGCCTAGAGAGGCCAAGATAGCCCGGCAATTCATCTGGGACTATGTGGATTTACTATGGAAAGCCATGAACTTGATGGACCCTTCCTTACAGGAGCCCAGAGACGTCAACCACTGGCCAACTTGGAAAAGCTGCACAGGCCAAGATGGGATGTGTAGGACCCTATCCAGGGGGCAGGGCATTGCTGTGAAGCTAGATTTCAGAAGGACTCCTCCATGTGTGTGGTCTGTAGGGCTTCAGGCCTGGAGGCTTGGGAAGGGCAGGGGAATGTCTGCCACACAATCCAAGTCCAGAGGCTAAGCAGGGAGCAGTGGTGGTCAGAACAAAGTATGATGGCGGCCACAGGTACAGGTGATGCTGGACATGTGTGGCTGTTGGAGAGAGGAGACAAAGACGATGGTGATGCCCAACATCCTCTCTCTCTCTCTCTCTCTCTCTCTTCCAGTCTTAGGTACTATTGGTCAGGACACCTGGAAGAAGGTACAGCTTTGGCCCCCCAAAACCCAAATTCACACACACAAATTAAAGCTTGCTGACCTGGGGCTCTGGAGCTCTAATCTCTCTCTCTCTCTCTCTCTCTCTCTCTCTCTCTCTCTCTCTCTTTCTCTCTTCTTTGGTGTGTGCCTGTTGGTTAGTTCTGCAAGAGCAGAATGGTACCTGTTTGGGGGGTGGTGTCAGGCAGCTGCAAGGCTGGCCCCTGGCCTTCTGTAGTGTCTTAGGGCATTGATGCTAGCCTCTAGGAACACCCACCCTCTCACACTGACCTGGGTGTCTCCTAGCTTTACTAACTCCCACACTGGGGTGGGGGATGGCTTTCCTGCTCTGAAAAGTCCTCTTTGGCTGGATGTGTGGGAAGTAGGTGGATATTTGGATGGTGGAGGGAAAGGCTGGGCTCTGGGGGTGATTGAACGAGAGCTGAGAAGATGATCAGATTCATGGATAGATGGATGGGTATGTGTGGGCAGAAGAGCAGGTGTGGAGCCCAGCATGTAGAAGGACAGAAGGTAGTCTAGATGGATGAATGGATGGCTGGGTGAGCAGTGGAGACAATGCACGGTGTGGGGACAAGCAGATTTTGAAAAGGAAGGGACAAGGTGACCCAAGGCACTGAAAAATTTTGTTGACAGCCAGTAGTCCCTGAGGCAGAAGTAAAGTTGGCAGCCTTATGTTGACCCTCCCTCTGCTTCCTCAGTTTCCCTCAGGGCTCCCCCTCCCTACTTCTGGGGGAGCCCTGTTTTGGGTACCTCACACCAGGACTTCCTTCCCTTTGTGTGGAGCATAATTCTTCGCTCTGGGCTGGGATTTTGGCTGAGGCATGATTATTTGCCGAGACCTGTTGACTGGGGCGGAAATAGGAAGTTTACTGTCCTCCACACACCCCCCCTCCACTCACTTCCTTCCTTGCCTTCTGCTGCCTCCGCACTCCTCCTCCTTCCTTCCTTCCCCATATTTCCTCCTTTGTGTCGTCCTCCCCACCTCCCCTACCTCCGCGCGCCTCCTCCTTAGCTCTAGCTCTGTCCTCTTCTAAAGGAATGGATCACCCAGACGGTCAGGGCCAGTCTGCAGGTATTGCCTCAGCCAGGACTTGCCCTAGCTCTGGCGCCCTTGGCCCTGGCAGGCCCAGGCAGTCGGGTCCCGGCTGCCTGGTGCCCGCCCCTCCCCGCAGCTCCGATTTTCAGCTTGGTTTTGATCGGCTGCCAGGATCTCCCAAATGTCAGCAGCAGCGTTCTCGTCTTTAAGAGAGCGCCTGAGGCGATCTTTAAGCGGGGAGGCTGGGGCCGGCGCTGACAAGGGAACTCTGCTGACAGCCACGCTCGTGCCTCCCCAGCCAGCTTGCAGAGCTGCAGCCCTGCTCTGGGCCTGGACTGATTGTGAAGCCTAGCTAGGCCAGGAGCTGAGTAGCAAGACATCCCCCACCCCAGCCCCTGAAAGTCAGGAGGGCCAGACATTAACAGATCCAATGCAGGAGCTTTGAGAGCTTCCCAAGAGGCAGAGAAGGGCAGTTTCCCCTTCCTCACCTGGAGGGGACATATTTAAGGTAAGGAGACATGGTGAAAGCTCCAAACTTTGGCCTAGCTGGTGTTAAGATCTATAGTGAGAGCTCTGTGACCTTGGGAAAGTTGCTGGCCCACTCTGAGCCTCTGCTCTCTCTCTTTAGAGAAATGTGCTTAGGGGCCAAAATGCCAGTATAGAATTGCTAGGAGGAGGAGGCACCAGTATCACAAAGAGAGGAACAAGCTTATGGGGCATGTGATGGGTACCCCAAGAAACTGCCCCTCCTCCTGCCTTCTCCTTGCCTGCAGCTTTCTAATCTCTGATGAAAGACACTGCCACCTCTCCCTGGAAGCCCCCTTGATTTCCTTCCTACCCTCAGGATGATTACGCAGAGACAGGAGCCCTGAGGAGAAGGCCAGATGGGAAACAGAGGCCAGTCCCCACCCAGGGAAGGTGCACTGGGAAAGGGGGCAGCATGGCTGTCCTGTCCCCTAGATGCAGCCTCTCTGGGGCCAGACAGAATAGAGTGGGAAACTGGGAGAGTGAACACCCAGGGAGGTCATAAGATTGGCGTCTGGACGTCCAGTCCTGCTCTGAAGCTGAGCCATAGGAACTAGGCTCCGAATGGCTGTGGATAAAGTCAGAATGAGTGGATGGAAGGTGGTGGAAACAGAAGTACATAAGGAATGGGTGGGGAAGGATGGATGGTGGTGGGTGGGTGGATGGGAAGGGGTAGATGGATAGGTGGATGGCTAGGGGACAGATAGATAGGTGGATGGGTGATGGGCAGGGTATAAAAGGGTAGATTGTTAGACAGGCAGGTGTGAGTGAGTGGTGGGTGGGGGTTTAGGTAAACAAGTAAGACATGAATGGGTGCGTAGATAGGAAGCTAGGTGGATAGATGGATGGATGATTGATTGTTGGATGGATATGTCTTTGGTAAGTGGATAAAAAGATGATTGCATGGATATACAGGGTGTGGTGAGCCAAATGGGTAGATGAGAGCACAGATGGATGGAAAGGGTGGGTAAATGGAGCTAACACTGGCCTACAGTGAAGGGTACATTGTGGGGGCTTCAGAATTACCTTTGCCCTGGATCTGTTGTAATGCTCCATGGGACTTGGAAGAGGTCATCTGGACCTTAGCTTCCCCATGTGTCTAAAAGGGGCAATGGCATATGGATACACACACACACACACACACACACTATACACACTATACATCACACCACACACACACACACACACACACACACAACCATACACACTATACATTACACCACACACACACACACACACACACACACACCATACACACTATACATTACACCACACACACACACACACACACCATACACACTATACATTACACCACACACACACACACCATACACACTATACATCACACCACACACACACACACACAATACATTACATCACACACACACCATACACACTATACATCACACCACACACACAAACACACAAAAAAAACACAACATAACAAACTATACATTACATCACACACACAAAAAGCACCACACACATACAAAACACATCTCATACACACACCCCTCAGGGATCCCTGAGGCTGGAGAGATGCTCAGTTGGCAAAGGACCAGCCATTGCATGAAGACCTGAGTTTGGATGTGGCCAAACATGGAGTCTGTAACTGTGGCAGCAAGGAAGACAGGCAAAATTCTGGGCTCACTGGCCAGCCAGTCTAGCCAATTGGTGAGCACTGGGTGCAGTGAGAGATCCTGTCTCAGAAAATGGGACAACAAGAGAAACTGACCCCTGACATTGACATCTGGCCTCCCTCCACTCTCATGCACACACAGACACACAGACCCTTGACTAAGTGTCCTCAGCGCCATGACCTCTGGACACCCCCCAAGCCCCACCCTGCCACAGCCTGTCCTGTGATTAACTTCCTCTTTCCTGTGTCCACAGGGCCCTTCTGTGTGGTTCCAGGAAATATTTCCTGGGAATTGTGCTCACAGCAAAATCCAGTATGGAACACCCACGCACGAGGCTGGAATTAGGAAACTATCTCTAAAGTCAGGAGATGGGTTAAGAGACTGGAGAATGGTATATCACACTGGGGTGCAAGCTTGCCTAGCATGCACAAAGCCCTGAGTTAGATCCCCACAATCGTGTAAACTGGCTGTAGTGGCACAGGCCTGTAGTCCCAGCACTCAGGAGGTGAATTCAGGAAAAGAAGTCCAAGGGCATCCTTGAGCTACGTATCAAGCTAGAGACTAGCCTGGGAGACCCCGTCTCAAAAGGGATAGGGTCAGGGAGATGTTTTAGGGGGCAAAGTGCTTCCCATACAGATGTGAGGACATGAGCACTGTGAACCTCAAGAACCCACATAGTAGCATGCCCATCTGTAATTCCAGCCCTAAGAGATGGGAAGTGGAGAGAAGCCCAGGAAGTTCAAAGGCCAACCAGCCTGTCTCAAACACTTGGAAGATGTGCTGGCTAATTTCATGTCAACTTGACACAGGCTAGAGGGATCTGAAAGGAGGGAATCCCAATTAAAAAAAAAAAAATGCCTCCATAAGATTGGGTTGTAAAGCATTTTCTATCTTTCTTCCTTTCTTTCTTCCTTTCTTTCTTTCTCTTTTTCTTTCTTTCTTTCTTCCTTTCTTTCTTTCATGATAGGGTTTCTCTGCATAGCCCTGGCTGTCCTGGAACTTGCTTTGTAGACAAGGTTGGCCTCAAACTCAAAGAGATCCACCTGCCTCTGCCTCCTGAGTGCTGGGATTAAAGGTGTGTGCCACCACCACCGGGAAAGCATTTTCTTAATTAGCTATTGACATGGGAGGGCTAGTCATCCCTGGGCTGGTGGTCCTGAGTTCAATAAAAAAAAAAAAAAAAAAAAAAGCAGGTTGAAGCCAGGCAGTGGTGACACATGCTTTTAATCCCAGCACTCAGGAGGCAGAGATAGGTGAATCTCTATGAGTTCACGGCCAGCCTGGTCTACAGAGTGAATTTTAGGACAGCCAGGGCTGCACAGAGAAAGCCTGTTTTGAAAAACAAAACAGGAAGAAGAAGAAGAAGAAGAAGAAGAAGGAGAAGGAGAAGGAGAAGGAGAAGGAGAAGGAGAGAGAGAGAGAGAGAGAGAGAGAGAGAGAGAGAGAGAGAGCAGGTTGAAAAAGCCATGGGGAGCAGACCAGTAAGCAGCATGCCTCCATGACCTCTGTATCAGCTCCTGCCTCCAAGTTCCTCCCCTGTTTGAATTCTTACCCTGACTTCCTTCAGTGAGGACTATGGATGTGGAAATGTAAGCCCAATAAACAGCAAGTTTCCTCCCCAACTTGCTGTTTGGTCACGGTGTTTATCACAGCAATAGCTCCTTGACTAAGACAGAAGGCAAGGACCAACACCTGAAGTTGCCCTGACTTCCACACACATACACAGGCATAAATGAGCATGAGCATACAGCCCTCTCCCCATAAAACCAAAGTGGAATCCAATCCCTTTCTGGTTCTCTGGGGATTTTGTGATCAGACCCTGTTGCTGTCTGGTTAGACCTCAGAAGAGGGTGAGGCCAGGACCTTGGAAGCTATTGCAATTGCCTGAAGGCCAGAGGGGTTCTGGAGGCCCTTGGGAGGTGGAGCCAGGGTTGAAACATTGGGTGTCTGATGGAGATGTAGCTCAGGGTGCTAGGCCCTGGGTCTATCCCCAGTCATAAAGGAAAATCTTACCCCCCTAAAAACAAGCCACCAGGTAGGTTCTGGGGGTGTCTGCCTGGGGGAGGGGGTGATCCTGACTCTGGAGCACCCAGAAGTTCTATTCAGGTATCAGGCTGGGGATCAGGTGACTCTCCTCCCTGAGGGAGCTGCCACAAGGCCTGCTGCTGGGGTGCCCCAGAGTCCATGGGTGATTGAGCAGTCAGTACAAAGGAGAGACTATTGGTTCTGGAGCCATTTTGACCTAAGCTTGGCATACAGTGGGTACTGAGGGATTTAGGATAGAGAGGGTTCCATACTCCCCCAAGTCCTGGGGTGGGGGGTATTTCTCTTGCTCCTCAACTGCCTCAGACTCTGGTAGAATGGCACCTCTGCCATCTGTCGTCCCTCCCCCACTCCCCACTCCGAGGCCAGGCTGTGACTGGGGGCTGGCGTGTCTGGTAAACAGGCGGCTGGCAGGTCCCCAGGGCCTGTGGGTGACAGGCCTGGTGCTGGCACCAACCCCAGGGCAGCATGCCGAAGAGGAGGGGGGATGAGTTCTGGGGACCAGGGAAGGTTCCCTGCCATGTCTGAGGGAGTCATGGCTGTGTTCTGTCCCTGGCACTCCCAACCCTCGTGGCCATGGCTGCTTCCCCACCCTTCATCTCCAGCCCTTGCATCCTCCCCTCCAGCTACCTTCAGAGAATTCAAGTCAATATCTGGTGTGAAAGGAGAGGCTGCCAGGTTCTCTCTACCTGGGGCGAGGCTAGGCAGCCTGCTCTGTGCCCTGGGGAGTCGTGCTCCACCACCAGAGAAACTGAGGCCAGAGGGCAGGGAAGGAGGAGGAGTTCCGAAC